TCACTCAGGGAAGCTCTTGGGCTCATCATGTCCTTATAAGCAATTATTTTCTGTGTGCAAGGTGCTGTAAAGTTGTACAAAAGCACAATACAAATATCAAATGTGGTTATTAAGTAAAGATTAATTATCTTTCTGGTTAGGTTTTATTTATTTATTTATTTATTTTTTTTTTGTGAAGGCCTCTGGCATGCATACCTCAGACACACTCAAACTTATTAATTACTGTTATTATGTAAAAGTTATACTGAAACATTATGTTGATAAATTGCTAATGGAGACAGGTATGAAACGGAAACCTGGATCTCACAGCTCCAACTGCTCAGATAATTTCCCTTGTGGTTTTGGAACTAAAGGACTGAATTCAACCACAGACCCAAGTGCCCACAGCTGGGGAAGCGCAGCTGCAGATTTGTCCACCTCTGCTCTCTACTGGGTACCTCCATAGTGAGAGGTGCCTTGGGGAAAAGCCCTTTCCAGCTACAGCATGTTTTATTTAGTATTACAATGGGTGATGTTCAGAGACATCAGGGTTTTTGTTTGCAACACACTTAGATGAAAACACAACCCCTCAAAAATGTGGTTGAACAGGGAACTGACTTTAGCTAATGTGTCAGGGAAGGCAAAATAAATGCCTGAGTGAGCTTTCATCTTGTCTTAGCTCATCACGGAAGGTTTCGGTTCTTACAGAATCGTTCCTTAACTGGAGAACCCTATAAAGGATCATTTTTGCTTCACTAGAATTAGCTGCACTAATTTTTACTTGTTTTCCTCCTGTGGACTCATGCAGGTGAAGCTCTGGCTCCATGGAAGCTGATGGCTGCTTTGCCATGGGTATCAGTTGGTCTGCATTTCTCCGTCAGGCAGGGAAGCCATTGGCTGCCCAGCCTTCCTGCTGTGTAGCTGAGTTGCATTTACCTTTGGCAAGACTTGTGGTCCTGGTCAGGTTAATAAGGTTTATTGAATGGGATTGGAAATAGAATATAGGGTGAGCTGTGCCTGCAGCCTCTGATTCTTTCCTCCAGGGAACTTTGCTGAACACTCTTTTGGAACACCACCAGTCTTTGTTCTCCAGTGCTGCACTTAGCTTTCCCTGCAGCCTCTGTGACACCATTCCCATGGAAATGTTGGCTCTATGCACTTCAGCTGACCTTTGGAGCTGTTTTTGGAAGTTTTCAGAATGTCCCAGAAGTACCCTTCAGGAGAGCATACAAGTGGGGGTAGCATCTCTGGAAGACCATCTGTGGCAATGTTTTAAAGGCCACACCACACAAAAACACCAACTCAGGTCTTGGAATCTGTCAAGCTGTTGATGCCGTATGCTCAGTTTAATTAGCCCACCTCTTTTCAGGCCATAATTAGCTCAGGTGCAGTCTCATCATGGCTCTGCTTCCCGTCCTAGAAACAGCCAAGGGATCTGTGCACAGCACCAAACTGCATGGCATGAACACCACCCAGGTCACCTCTGAACTTCAGATTTGAGCATCAGTCAATGATGGCACACCAGCGAGGAGGTGTTTTTCTCTTCTTCACTTCTCTTTTCATTTGTCTTTACTTCCCAGGGGCTTGCATGGATCTTGGTGAACCACAGCATTGATCTCAGGAAGAACCTGATGCATTCTGCTTTCTTGCAGTTAATATTCACAATGCAGAGCTTAAGGAGAATGTTAAAAGCAGAACAGTGAGCGTGTAATGCTTGAACTTATTCTACTACTCTGCTTCTTTTGCCTCCATTGCTTTGATCAGGGCTTGCTTCTTCCTTTCAATGAGCTGCCCAGCCCTCCAGCAAAAGGGAACTTTCTGAACAAACCCGATTCCTCCTTGGTAGCCTTTTGTTTTGACACTCAGAAGAAGGCAGATTTATAGACTTTCCTAAGTCGTAAGTTCATTTTCTTTTTATTTACCTTTCACTGCAGCCCATTCGGAGTGAGATTTCATTCTGCCTCCGAGCAGGGCTGACCTGCCAAGAGGAGCTGATCCATAAATCTTCCCTTCCTTTTTCTTTCTTTCCAAAACAGAATTAGCTGAGTTTGCCTGTGAGGAAAACTGTTCTGCCATTGCCGGCAGTCAAACAGTGCAATTAATTAGTGCTTTCCCTTTTCTCTTCCCTCTAGTCTCTGTCTGATGGGGTTGAAAGTAAGCCAGGGAGGAGGGGGAAGGGACAAAAGAAGGGAAAATGTTTTGTTTGAAGTATTTATATTCAGTTAAAAAGTTTGCTATGTGATACAGCTCAGTGGTGGTGTCCCTTTTGCATCATGTCTAGTGGCCACAAGTTTAATCAAAGCATCCCAGCAGAGGAGCTGGAACTTAGGACTTTCTTGTACAAAGCCACATTTTAAGAGGTCGTCCTCTTTATGACCTCCTGAATCCTAAAACTGTGGCAGCTTCACCGTTGTGCTGCCTTCTTGTATCTCAGCTGGGAACATCAGAACACTTGCTGTGCTGCTTGGGTAGAGAACAAATTCCTCATTTCGTGGTTCAAGTGGGCTGCTGTTTGGGTTTCAAGTACAAAAGGATGGTGGGTCAGAGGTGGAAAAGGTGTTTGTAAAATGATAATGGAAAGTATGCATTCAGCTGAAACTGTTCTGCAGGGCAGGTCTGAAAAGGAAGATGCTCCATCTCTGCTCCTTCCCATTGTGGAAGACAGAGCATGTCACGACAGTGCTGAGCAGACGAGAGCTGCTTGCCAGCATTTAATTTGCTGAAGATTAGGAAATTATTACAACACTGTGGCAGTCCAGAAATACCATTGAACTCTGGGGGATGTGAAATGGAGATCTAGCCTCAGATTTTGTTGTGTTTGGAAGCCCAAGCTTTATCAGAGTAAAAACTGTAAGGATTGTTTAAGCCATATTGATAGTGTACCTTGACCCAATGGACTGGCTCAACATCAGCCACCTTTGAACTCTGGAATAACTTATATCTAGAACAAGGCTGAACTTGCTCATTTTCTTTGTGATCAGAAGCAATGCAGAGATGAGCTATTCCTGCTTTTTGTCCTCACTGCAGGGAAAGGAGGCTGCTAAAACATTGCCCCTTTCTGACCTCCAGCTTTCTCCACAGAAAGCCTTGAACCCCAGGTTTTTCTCCTAGTGCTGTCCTTGCTCTGTCCTACCCATCCTGTGCCCTTATCACGCCAAGGACAGCAAGCTGAGAAGCCTTCTACATGGCCGGACTGAACTTCAGCTGATGCTTCCATTATTTACAATCATTTCTAAAAGCACTCTCATGACTGTTGGGGTCGAGCCATAAGCAAACGCTTCTCTTATGATCACATGTGATAAATAGACATAAAGCTCTTGGTGTCAGCAGCCTCACCAATCTGTTTACCACTTGGAGCTCGCAGCAGCTTAGCAGTTGCAAACCATCACTTGTCCAGAAGTAGAAGAGCAGTTTCAGAAGTGCTGTAAGTAAATAAGAGTTCTGACGTGGGCACCAAAAATAAGCATGCACTGAGCTTTTCTGAGCATTTGGCCAGGTCGCAGTTGCTGACTGCTGAGCAGTTAGGAAAAAGTATCCCCTCTTTCAGGTGCTCAACACTTGAACAACCCCAGGTCATCTGCTTCTCTCATAGCTAGCACTGTTTTGCCCTGCAAAAATAACCAAGGTTGGAACCAGCACCACCTGACCCCTAAGGGACACAAGAAGGTTAAGTCCAGTCCTTTGTGGCATCTAAACTGGAACAGTAGCTGAGGTTGACCCTTTTAGGTCACTTTAGCTGAAAAATGGGAGGAAGTCTGTAACTGGCTTGTGTTGATGGGTGCAGAAATACCATTGAGGGCAGATCTGGTACTGCGAGGCACGGGAGGCTTTCTCAACCCTGATTTATGCTCTTAGAGCTGCCGTTGCAGTGGTAAATCAAGGCAGAATGTTTGCCAAGCTGCTTGGTGATAGTGGAACTGCACAGGCATTGGCTGAAAGAAACCCACAGAAAGAAAATGCAGATACACTTTCCGTAAGAAGTTGTTGGCTTAGCAATTCTGGTCTCATCTCTCGGGTACTTTCTGGATGGTTTAAGTGAAATGGTGAAATAATTTAAATTTAATGGAAGTGGAAATATTTTTTTTTTTTTTTTTTTTTTTTTCGGTGTTGCAAAGATGTGGAGGAGAAAAGCAAGGCTCAAACTATTCCTACTTTGCTGGTGTAATGGCAAAGTTTTCCAAGCTTGCTTTGCAAGTGGCTGGATTTTGGATGTGAGTGAAGCAGATGTGAGGAGAAGTGCCAGCCAACAAGACACATGGCTCTGATCTACCCCTGCATGGCATTTTACCTGGGACCTGAGTTGTGATCCCACAACTGTTCATGCTGGGGAATATGGATCAGCAGCAGGCCAGGCTGGCAACACCTTTCTCCTGCTGGTGAAGAGTTACTTGCTAAAATAGACTCATTGAGACCTATAGATTATTATGTTCATTAGTGGTGATTCATACTAAGAGTTTCATAATCAGGCCTGCTGGTGTAATATGTTCCTTTCCACAGTACCATTTATCTTAAAGATCTCGGAATACTTTATGTACATTGAGCTTTAATCCATGTTTTACCACCAGCGAGGGCAGGTAAGGAGGATTGTTTCCATTTTGCAAATGAGGAAAACTGAGGTACAGAGTGAGAAAGTGGGTTTGTCCAAGATTCTGGAGGTTGTTTGCAGAATTGTGTGCAATGGCCATCTTTGAATGAGTGTACATTTCCCATGCGTGGCCCCAGAGACCTAAAAGGGATCTTTACTTTCCCTGGGCTGAGCAGAAACCTGTCTATAGTTGTAAGGTTTGAAGGGAATCAGAAACTCCTGCAGCGTCTGGGGATGTTTAAATTTGCCATCCCCAACCGAAGTGTTGGGGCAGAAGTGCTAGTTTGCTTTTAGGGCTGGTTTCAGCCAATTGGTCTAAGATGTAGAATTAAGAGGTAGTGAAGAAACACAATTTGGAAGAGAAATCTCTCTACAGCTCCCATTTTCCATCCGTATTTCCACTGAAGTGACCTTTGTCTGCTTTCTTCCCTGCCAGGGTCCCCTTCTCTGAGGGCATATCCTCTCATCTCCGTTATCACCAGGCAGCCCTCTGTGGTCCCTCACCTCGTTCCAGCTGCCACCAGCTCCCATGTGCTGCCAGCCCAGACCTCAGCGGCTGCGAGCTCAGAGACGCCAGCCAGCGAGACCCACGGCAGCAGCGAGTCGGAGGCAGAGCAGCCCACACCTCGGTTAAAAAAGCCACGCCGGAGTCGGACCATCTTCACAGAGCTCCAGCTGATGGGCTTGGAGAAGAAATTCCAGAAGCAGAAGTATTTGTCTACACCTGACAGGTAGGAGTGCGCTGGGCTGGGGAGGGAGATCCAGTTCCTACCACCAACTGCGGTCCTTTAGCTGTGCAGAATGCACTTGTCTTCATCTGGTTTACTGCTTTATCTGAGCAGTCCATTCAGATGCTCGTTGTTCCCTTTTCTACATTCTGGGATTATTGCTGGCAGCCACTGACCTGAAAGACAGATCACACCTTGTGCACATCTGTAGCTCCCTTCTGTCCCTCCTCAACCTGGGGACAGCCAGACATGGCTGAAACTATCTAGGCTATAAATATTGCTTAGAAAGGAGCAGGAAAATACTGTTTTCTAACCTAGGAGAAGGACAGGGAGCAAAAGGGTTGAAGCAAGCCTGCTCAGCTGTCCCCATACTGAGTGCTCCCTGGCTGCAGAGTGCTGCTTTCTAACTCCATGGCGATACCTCTGCTGCTGGCCGAGGACATGGGCAGATGACCTGATTAAATTTCAAGGCTAACTTCTCTTGAGATCAAAGATGACACGAATAGGCTGTATCAATGGAAATGTCACATGGTGATAGATGTGCCTGCTAGCAGGCATCCAGGCTCAGAGATGTACAAGAAGCTGAGCAAAGGCTCTTTCTTCTTTTCTGTTCTTGCTCCAGACCCTTGGGAAAAGATGTGGCCTGGTTTCCTGCTGAGATGCTGAGGTGGATGGCTCTGTCTCTGTGGCAGCTGGGAAGTTGGCTGTAGCTTCAGCTTGCTGCTGAACTAGCTCTCATCTGGCAAACATGGCTAGCAATTCAGTGAGCAGTTAGTGGTCTGTCCATCAGGGAGAGAGCCTGGGATGCATAGGTGTGAAGGCTGCCTTGCTCCATCTTGAATTCTCAGGGACTGCTTGGTAGCAAATAGACAAACTAAAATAAGGAGAGGTTTTGTTTGTTTTAAAGGCTTTGAATGCTACCCTGCAAATCTAAATTACAGGAAAAAGCCTTGTCCGATTCCTATTCAGTTTGTAAACCTAGGGAGGGTTTGAAAGGTTCACCAGACCTTGAACTCCACGGGTGGCAGAATCCCAATATTAAAATGGTTTTGAAGTCAGCACACTCCACTTGTACTCCCTGTCACCAAAGGATCACAGCTAGACCGAATCTCATGAGCAAGTCTGAATGTCTCACACAGCTTTAGATCCCAGTGCTTCTTTAGTGACTCCTCCCAGTGTCACATAAGCAGATTGTTGACACCATTGATGAAGCACTCAGGGCTGGTAAATTAATTTAGTAGTATGACTGTTCCTTGGCTTTGTCTGTGTTAGAGCCTGGTGAGCGATTCCTGTCCCTGCACCACTTCCCCTGTTTGTTTCCTTGGGTTTCCAGGCAATGCTGACTACAGTAATGTGTGTGGCAAGAGATGGCAACTGGCTGCAGGTAATCAGAATGTGATAACATGCATTATGGCAAGCTAGCCAAGCAGTGTTTCTCTCTCTGAACTCATGGCTGGAAACGTGATCGTGAAGCAATGAATTGTGATCTGTGTTCAGTCCTGCAGCTTTTGGCCTAGACACAAGATTGTGCTGGTTAGAGGGCAAATAGAGCACCTGGTTTGTTAGTAGTAAAGGAGAGCAGTGCGATGCCTCTGCCACATTCTCAGACAAACTGGTAATATTTTTAAGTCAATGGGATAAGACATAGACATTGTATAGAAGTGTAGGCAGCAGGGAATCTCAAGTGGGGAAAAGCATGAAGCCAGGAGTGTGTATGTGAGCACAGAGCTGGTGTGGGGTGCGTAGGTGCTTGTAAATACACGAGTGAGCCTGACCGCCCGAGGAGCCCAGCTGAAACAGAAATGCTATTATGAACAACTTGGCCTTGACAAGTGTGCTTTCTCCCGTGCAGAAATAGGGAAATATCTGTCAGAAATCTCATACAGTCCAGAACACGTCGGAATGTGGCTCTGGGTTTGGGATGTCCCACCTGTGGGGTTTGCGTGACTCTGTGGGGCACTTGCCTGGCGTTGCTGAGGATTTCCAACTCTGCCTGTTGTGCAACTCCATTACAACACTGCCAGATGCATGGTACCATCACCTGTGGGGAAGGATAAAGAGCTAGCCTGAGCTGCATTTGCTTCATATCCTGAGTTTTAATATAGAAATAATGAATGGTTTCAGATGAACTTGCACAGGTTGGAGAAATGCGGAGGATGAATCAGGATTATGGGCTGTCTGCCACACGTACCCTTAAGCTAAACACGCAAATAATAAATTCGTTTATAAGCTTAAATTGCCTATAATAGCACAATGCATAAGAAATTAATAGATTTAGATGTACTACTGCTCTTTGAGAAATGAAAAAGTATCATTATCCTCATTATGTAGGTAGTGAAGATGAAATATGATACAAAAAGCAACGCTTTCACAGGCAGACTGATGCCAGGTGTCTTGCTTCTTACGTGGTTGCTTCAGACACCATGGGCCTATTTTTCAGGAATGCTGTGTAGCAGCAGCTCCCTGCCTCATGCACAAACGTGGAGCATCAGCAGTCAGCATACAGCTGTCCTGTGTTTGAAAAAGAGCAGGCAAGCCTTCAGAACTTTTAGAGTTGGCCATTTGTCCACCAACACGTTGACCATTCTTTCTTCTTCCAGCGACTATCTTTACACCCTGGGAGAAGCAAAGCAATCCTTTCTGGCAGTCCTGCTGCTGTGTGGTTGCCTGCCCTTGGCATCTGGGTGCTTCTCATCCTCTGGCAGCTCCTTGCAGTGTCTGTCTTCTCTTCCAGGCTCGACTTGGCGCAGTCGCTGGGGCTGACCCAGCTCCAGGTGAAGACGTGGTACCAGAACCGCAGGATGAAGTGGAAGAAAATGGTAAAGGGTTTGGTACCATTTCTCTCAGTCCTTACAAACTGTTTTTGAAAGAATAGATTCCGAAGCTGAGTGTAGCGTCAGTGATTTGTGTCTGTTTATACTAAATCTTGTCTTCTTCTTGCCGAATTTGCCTACAATTTTCTTAGAAATGTGCTTTTTTTATCTTTAAAAAGCTCACGTTGGAGCATAAGCGGTAGGCTGGAGGTACAACAAGCAGTAGGAAGAATGTGGAGCTGAGGGATGAAAGAACTTACAACAGAGGGAAGAACCAAACTATGTACCTCTGCATTTTTGGCATAATAATATTAAATGCTAATTTAGAAGCCAAAGTGGAATTGGCAAGAGAACAGACAGTCAGAAGCAATCCTGGCTAAAGTTTGAATGTTCTTACTTGGGCTTTAAATAGATCAAATGCTCATGAAAGGGTCTGAATTGTGCATAAAATCTTTATGTAATGTTGAGGACTGCGTGATCAGATCACTTTTGGGGCTGCTGCAGAAACTGGCTCAGATGGCTCCATCTAAATTCTGAGTGTCCTTGCTGGTATTTTTTGCATTTAGTTTTAGATATATGAGAAAATGATTGAACTCACTCTGTGAATGCAGGGAAGTTCTCTGAAGCTGAATGGTGACCACAGGTCACGTCTGAAGTCGCATTTCATCCTCTCTCTAAAGGAAGCCTCACAGCAGGGAAGTTCAGGTTGATCTGACTGTTAATCTCTTTGCTCCAGGTGTTGAAAGGTGGGCAGGAAGCTCCAACGAAGCCCAAAGGCCGTCCAAAGAAAAACTCCATTCCCACCTCAGAGGAAATTGAAGCAGAAGAGAAAATGAACAGCCAGGCTCAGAGTCAGGAGGCGGAGGGATCTCAGGCGCCCGAGGAGCCTAAAGTGACAGAGGAGAAGCCAGAAGTCTCTTTGGAGACAGAAGAGTCTCCAGAACATATACCAGAGCCCTCCTCAGAGGAGGCAACGCCATTAAGTTAAAGGGAAAAAGAAAAGGGAAAGGGAAAAAAAGAAAAAGCAAAGAGAGAAACCAAAACCAAATATATATGTGTGTGTATATATATATATATTTAAATATGTATGTAATTGTTGGTGTGTACATATATATATAAATATATATATATATATGTAGACCTTGTGTATAAGCTGAAAGATTGGTCACTTAGTGCCTTTGGGAATCAGCCATCATGGGCCACGGTGGAACAAAGGCATCCAGTGTGAGCAGTGGCACATGTTTGCCTTCCCACAGAGAACGATGGAGGCCTGGGTGTATTTCCAGAGAAAACCATGTCCAGAAACCCCAGACAGCTCCTGTCAAATAAAGGAGAAAGCCAGGGCTCCTTTCCTGCAGAGGGAGGCGGATGTGTAGTGGTGCAGCTGTGTTGGAGGGTTCCGTGTGTTCGCTTGGCTTTATCCTTGCCTATAAAAGTAGTGCAAATGGACTTGGCCTGGTCTTGGATCAGGGACAGCAAAGAAATGGGGAGCTCTGACAGCACCATTTCGACTTGTAACCAGCACTTATTTCTGTTAGGGATGGGCCCAACTTAAATATTTTGGGGGAAGAGTTCAGACACATGGGTTTGCTTTGGCCCAATACAGAGACCAAAGCTTCTGAAGAGAGACTCATACCCAGGTCAGCACTCAGATTTCGTGTCTCATGGTTATTTGGGTGCCGTGTCTGTGAATTTGCAATGATCCAGGATAAAACATCGAAGGAGATGAGGGTTTGGATTTGAGTCTGCTCCAAAAGCTTTGGAATGCTTGGATCTGGGATTTTTGCTTAGGGCCCACTTCTAATTTTTCTAGGGTTTTTAATGAACATTTAAATATTTCCAGGGTTTTGGGAGAAGGATGGATTTAAGAAGTTGCTGCGGAAAGTTTGCGTTTGTTTAAGATGTGTGCCAAGAATAGACGTGCATCATGTTTCCTAAAGTCTTGTTAAGGGTGCATTTTGCCCAAAGGCTGCAAGAGATGTATTAAGATAACCTTTATTTTTTAATTAAAACTGAAATATATAAACAAACCAGTTGTTGTTGTTTCTCTTTCAGAATGCTGGGCAGACTTTTCTGGGTCAGGTCATTTGTTCTAACAAACCTTGGAGAACAGGGGTGTCATCCAGCCTCCTGTAACCCTCCTGGGCAGGAGGCACTGTGCATGCTTCTTGCAGCACCTTGCTGAGGTAGGTGAGGGTGCTGCCCATGTCACCTTGTCACTGTGTGCAGGGCAATGTCTCAGGGTGTTGTTGCTGGTTTGTCACTTCCTCTGCTGCACATCTAGCTAATAAATGGGCATCTCTGACCCTGCCCTGTTTGGGGGAGAAGTGGGGAATAATAATTCACACACATAGTTCTCACTTGACTCATCCAAGGTGTGTTATATGAGGAGAAAGGGTTTCTTTTTCCCCCATTTCTTGCTCAGTGATGTTTGAAAGACTCTTAATCCACCTCAGCATCAGCTCTGCATTTTAACACACATTTACATCAGTACTCCATGCATAGCAAAGCTCCCACTGACTTCAACCAGGAGCATTGCTGCACACACTGTGCAGTGCTGACTTAAAACACCGCAATCAACTTTGAAAAGGCTTCTACAGATTTCAGTGCATCTTCAAAAAAAAAAGAGAAAACATCCACCCGAGTTGAGCAATGTTCTTTTTAAGAAACATAGAAAATCTCAGGCATGTTACACCATTTAGCATTTGTACCTGGAGGTAGAAATGGGACCAAAGAGTTCCCACTTACCTGCTGTGTTGGAAACACGGTCTGGGAGCTACAGAGAGTTTCCTCTGCCATTAAAACACACGGAGATCAGTTTTGGAAGCATTGTTCTTTCCACAGAGCCCCAACAAATTCGTGACAGGCCCAAAGAGAGGCAGGGATGGCAGAGCAGAATTTTGGCCCTTGTTGGATGGAGTCGTGATGCTGTGTGTTGTTTCAGATTCTTTATCTGTGGAAGCCTTTTTTAAAGAAAAACAACTTTAGTTCAACCATATCTGTTGGACTTGAAATGGCATTTAATTTTAAAAAGGCCCACGGCCTGTTTATACAAGAATGAGATTAGATGGTCTATGAACTGTGTAATTGTCAGGTATTGTTCTTGGATAGTAGCAACAGCACTATTATCTCAAAATAAAACGCTTCTACAAGTCTTAAGTGTGGTATTACTCAGGATGAAGGGAGCAATTTACTGGAAACAATTTTTCTGATGGGTTGCACCACTTAGTTTGGAGTTCACCGGGTTTGGAAGCAAGAAGAGGGGCATGGAATCAAACCATCAGATTTTGTGTGCACATCATTCCACAAACAACAGCAAGAAAACAAAACCAACAGGAAAAGCCAACAACTTCTCCTTCAGGGAGCATCAAAGATCTCCTGGTTTCTCTGACTTCAAAGTGGAAAAGAAATCCTCCGGCGCGTTTTTCTATAGCTTTTTGGAGATGGATATTGAGCCTAGCATCTTGGAAGCTTTAATTGTCAGTGTATACACTTTCTTTCATCCAAAATGTGTTCCACAAAGTAGAAAACAGATGTAGGTTTGTATTGATAGCCAGTGCGTTTATCTAATTTGAGGAATTTTAATGGATTTTTATGGGGATGGGATAGAAATATAGAAACAGGAAAAATGGGTTTCTTCCCCTGGAGCAGGAGGTGGTGTTTGGTGTTTCTGTGCTATTCAAGGAAAAGGAGAAATTCAAAGTTACAGAATTCAGAAAATTCTAAGGAAGATGAATTTCTAAATCACGAGCAAAGTTGGTGATTTTCCAGCAAAGAGCTTTGGGGAAATGTCACTTCCCACTTCCCAGATGAAAATAATTGTTTCTGACTCAACCCTACTTCACGGTGGGAACAATTCCAGCGATATTTTTTTGGTTGTTAATCCCATTCTAATCACTTATGAGTCAATCTGGGTGAGAATGCAATACTCTAGCTGCCTGGGCTAGTTTTTAATGAGGCCATAAGACACTGAAGATGTTTTTGTTCCTCTTTTGGATCAGTAGCAATCTTAGCATTTTATTTTTCAATGCGATGAAGAGCAAAATTAGCTCTCTTAAATGCTGTTTCATTCTTGCTTACTCTGAATTACTTTCACTCACTTAGCTGAGAGCTTCTTGAATGGAAAGCCTGTTCAGAATGTGTGTCTGTTGAGATGGAATGAAAACAGCAGGGGATAAATGGTAAAACCATTGAATTATCTCTTGGATAAATCTTTTCAAATTTCTCAGTTCTATGTCACATCTGCAGATGGAGAAAAACACCTACAAATTCTGGCAGAGTTGAACATGCTGATCCCACCCATTGATAGTAGACAAGAGATCCTTCTCTTGTTTAAGGACTCTGCTCCATTGCGTTTATTTCTCCTCTCATCACTGGAACACAAACAACTGAGAAACACTCCTCCTTTTCACTTCGGGCTGAGCTCAGATAGGCTTCAAGGCTGTGCTGCAGAAAGCATGGCTGTGCAAGACCAGCCTTCATTTGGAGCTGTGGTGGACGCTGCAGCAATGCTCATCTCTCAAGCCCAACTCCAAGTTGTGTTGGCTTTGTGCTCCTGGGATCGGGAGAAACATGACAAGTCTCCCCCTAGGCAGCCCCTTCAGAAACGAGGGACTTGAGAGCTTCTTTGCAGAGCCAAAACCTTCCACATTAATAATTTAAGGCTATTTTTTAGGGTTCTATCTCCCAGCTACCAACACCTCCTGTCCTAGAGTGGTTTGTCACTTATCAGGGAGGTCAGATCAAAGAGGTGCCTTTGGGGTTGAGCCTTGCGACTTCAGGGGCGTTTGGCTTCCAGTTCTAACAGCAAGAAACAAGCACTGATGTTGAAATCCAAACTCCCCTACAGGGATGGAAAGCGCTGATATCCGGAGCTCTGGCTGAGACCCACCTTTTGTTGTACCCACATTTAGATAATTTTGCAAAGCACTGAGCTCATCCTGCAAAATGGTATGTTTCCCCCAGGTCCCAGCAAGGATGAATGGGCTGTCGTCCAGTATTTTAAAAAAAAAATGGTTTAGCTCCAGGCACAAAGGCATTGGTGTTGGGGTGGGTTTTCAGTTCCCCTTTGTTTGCATCACTTGCTTCAGGAAGAAAACGGAGAAAGAAAGTAAGAAAGCTATGGGGTGAACAAAGAGGGGAGAACGATGTGAAAGGAAAAAAGCTGAAAAGCTTAACTGCATCAAAGTATGAAAAATAAAAACCAGGAGTAATTTTCTTGAAAATTCAACTTTCCTTAGAAGAAGATATGATAAATGAAGAAAGCTCTGGCTGTGTAAAGGCAGATTCATTGCTGGGGTTTAACTACAGAGGCAGTGAACAATGTATTACAGGTTTTTCACAAGTTTCCTCTTACACCGTATAATTAAAGTGTAACTGAGTAAAGAGCATTTGGATTACATTTATGCAATAGAAGATTTGGGCCCAAGTCTACATCTTGAAAAAGACATTGGTTTGAAGCATAGATCTGGAATCTGGGGTGTTGAATGTGAACATCCTGTGAGAAAGCTGCTCTTCTCCATCTCAAGGTGTGGCACCACCAGGTTGGATTTATCAGGTTTTACCATAAGCTTTAGAATAAGTGGTCTGGGGGCACCAGTCCAGAACAGAGTAGGCTTTCCCCAGCTCTAACTCCTTCCCATGTTGCTCATCTTGAACATACTGTCCCAACACACAGAAATAATTACACCTTAGCTTGGTAGTAACAGGAAGGAAGCTTCTTATCATGCTGGGATCCACGGATGCCAAAAGGGAGATGTGTGCTGCTTGGCTGCCGCCAGTGGAGAGAGAGTGTAACCCCTCCAGGGTGTTCTGACATGTCCGTTACCTGCTGGAAACACTGAAGCACTTGTTATTCATACAACTGAAAGTCATAGAGTTACTCACTGAGAGAGATTCCTGAAATCATCCTGGTCGTGGGCAGCCTGCAAGCAATGGGAGCTTTTGTTCCCCGGAGATTAGTGAGAAATGCTTTCTTCAGAAAGAAATTTCCCAAGTCAGAATTTCCTGGGGAAGAAGCCTGCTGAGCATGC